AGAGCATATAATCTAAAATCAATAGAACTTTGTCAAAATATTAAAACTAATACAATCTAATTTAAAGAAACATAATTTGAATTGAACTCTAATTTAAAATAATATCTACATCCTATATTTATTCTATCTCCATCTCCATCTCCATCTCCATCTCCATCACTTGCCTTTTTCGTCTCTTTGACTCAAAGTTCTATATCTAGTGGGAATGCTGCTGAGGCCTGATGATGTACAAAAGTTCAGTAACAAAAGGCTTGGAACTGAAAACATATAGAACAGCTGACAATTTTATGCAGAAGGATAATACCAAAGGCTAACGAAGATTCCACACACAATTAATTCTAATGACCATTACTTTTAGAGTATTCTAGTAATAGAAGTGGCCATTACACTCAGTTTAACCGACTCATCTGACAATCACATTTCTTTAGGGTTTAGCGGGCGAAAATGCAAAGGCTAGCTTCTGACAATCACATTTCTCATTAAATTATAAGGCATCACAATATTTATCCCTACTAAATTTGGAAGTATAGCTTAAAAATCAAAATCACAAGTCATGATCAAAGAAAACATACAAAAGATCAGTAAGATCAGCTCACGGACCTCACAGATCGTGTGCAATCAGTTGCTCCAAAATTTTCCTTTCAGGAGAGCGAACCCGCAGGCTTTCTTGGTTCTTGGATGAGAAATTCCCTTTTGGCTTTTAAAATATAAATGGTTGGCCAGTTGATTCAAATGTGGATAATCAATTGGGTATCTTTATTCGAATTGAAATGCTTTATGAATATCATGCATTTTGCTAAAAAATGTAGTAGCTTGCATTCCCTAGAATGGGACTAATACTTTGCCACTTAAGTTCAACATAAATTATTGCTCAAAGGGTAGAACTATTGTGTTCACCACGTTGTAGATAGAGTTTGCTCTGCTTGTGTGAAGTGTGATATGCAGACCACTACATTAAAACTAAATGAGAAGGATGGGATATAAAACCTTGAGCCAACTGGACATTCACCTAAATTTTTGTTGCCAGTCTAGGCCCAGAGAGCAATTTAATTGGCAAGCAAAGTGTCAGATTGGTGCTACTTTTTGGTTTTTTGTCACGTTTTCTGTAACGCCCTGACCCTTTGTGGACCGGAACGCTACTTACTTTACTTAACTAACCGATGGTTTAGTCATAGGAGAATATGTTTTAGCGGAAGATTAATTTTTACAATGATAATTTTAACAACCTTTCGAATACTTTAAATAAAACACTGAATAAAAAAATAACGGAACGTAATTTATTTGAAGAAAACACAACTTGTTCTCGCGTTCAGCGTTATTAAAATATTTTAAAGAAATAACATTGAAAACGTTCACAAAAATAAATCTAAATAACTTGTTTACCGGGTTTTCCATGGGCTCGTTGCACCGCTCTCCATCTTTTCCATCATCCAGGCCCAAGGTAGAATCATATCAATTTGTAGAGAAGGGGTTAAACCCGTGAGTTAAAAAAACTCAATAGATATCGTTGGTGCATTCGTGATCAAGCTATACATTTCAAAGTTGTAACTTTAGAAACCTTTTCATAGTAGGATTTCCGGTAGAATCTCAAACACGTAAAGTCATGACTTAACACGACGCCTCGATCGGAAGTACATGCCGTACCCGGAGGTACCATTAGACATGGAGGTGTATGCCGTACCGGAGGTACCATTAGACATACAAACAATAACATAAATCTTTATTTGCTAGAAACTTATAACTTAACAAGAATTAACACTTTGCACCTCTACCTACCTTGAATGATGCTTTGAACCTTGTTGAAAAATGTACTTCTTTGATGTTTAAAAAAAAATCACTCCGTTGAGGATTGATACTTGGAAAACACTTCTCGATAGTACCAAAACATCTAGGAAAAACTAATTTTCCTCCCTCTCATTTCTCTTTTTTCTAGACTTGAAAACTCTCTTTTATGCTTAGAAGCTTTTGTCTTGGTGTGAAAAATGTGTATGCATTGGGGCCTATTTATAGGTGAAAATCTCACAACTTAAGGGCAAGTGAAGGGCCTAATACTCATTAATACGGGTGTCATTTATGTGGGAGTTATAGGTTTAAGAAGGTGCTAGAAAATCGTGTAGGAATTTGACTTTTCATATTCCGCGTATTTCGGTTGATAATGTACACAGCCTTTAGTATTTCTATCATAACTTCTTCTCCTGATATCCGATTGAGGTAATTCAAAGTGTGTTGGAAAGCTAACTCAAAGAGTTATAACTTTTCTTTAGATATCATTTTCCAAATCGAATGTTTTCTATGTTGTAAATGGGTCTCAAATGAGACTAAAAATCTGAAGTATACTTTAGCCATCCAATATTCATGTCTTAGTGCCACTAAGGTGTTTAAAACTATTTGGGGTTCTACATTTTCTCTTCTCCCTTCTGTAAATAAGGAGCCGAAAAGGGAAGAGAGAGCTTTTGAAAAATTTCAACTCTTTTCTCTATTGTTGCAGCAATGAGAATGACACTACGGAGAGGTTAAAGCGCATTATTCAGGCAAATGCTAGTCTTCGTCAGGAAATATCTGAGTCAAACCTTCACAGCAAAAGCTTGGTAAGATAATTTTCGTACTCTGTTTTGGGCTTACTTTTTTGTTGACACAATTTCTTAATTAATTACTTCTTAATATTGTGCACGTCTATTTGATTCTAAAAATGGTCGTGGTTTTGCCTGCATTTTCTCTTATTGTTATTATCATACTCATTGATATGTCATTTATGATTTGAAAAGTCTACTTAATATACAAGATAGGTGGATATGCCGATAAACTTTATGAATTGTTTGAATTACTAAACATGTATAGAAGTTGCAGATGGGGTCCCAACAATACGATTACACTTGGAGTCAATTCATATTTGATGTATTTGGTGAAATACGAGGTTTTGACACGCATCTGGAGACCAAGCTTGACAGTAGTGATAGAAACATGTGGAAGCACCCAAAAGGAACTTTACTCAGTCCTTTAATAACTAAGTTCTATTAATTTTGAGTTTCGAATACGTTGTTTCCTTTAGACGAAAAGGGAAAAGAAGATACACTTTAGACTCAAAGCTCCCTATATTCATGAACGTGGCTTGTTCATGATTCTCTGGATTCTATTGGCAGTTTTTTTGTTTCTGATATTGGATCTGATTACTACCTGCTGCTATTATTGTTATTTTTGTGTTCATACATGTTGGTAACTAACAGGAATTTTATGATGTTTGTGAGTGCTGATTTCTAAAACTATCATTTCTGTAAAGACATTCAATGTACACAATTGACAGATATCTGCTGTGCTAATGCATCATGCATTAGGCTTCTCATACAGTCTTTCAGAAAATGCAGAATTGTATTGTCCTGACCAATTGTTTTATTCAAATGTTGGATCAGACTAGTTTGGTCGATGTTCAAATGGAGTATGCACAGTATATAAACAGTGACGTCCGTGGTATCCCGTCGCACATGCCAGCTGCCAAGCCATTGACTGGCTTTGTTCAGAAACTCAAAGGGAAAGCGGGGCGTTTTCGTGGAAATCTGTCGGGGAAGCGTGTAGAGTATACTGGCAGGACCGTTATATCTCCTGATCCAAACTTGAAAATTACCGAGGTCTGACTTTAAAGTGGATTTGAATTAATTTTGGACTGTTCATATCTTTTTATTTGAATGCTCTCCTGTGTTCAGGTTGCTATTCCAATCCTAATGGCGCGAATTTTAACTTATCCTGAGCGTGTTTCACATCATAATATAGAGAAGTTGAGGCAGCGTGTACGTAATGGACCAAATAAATACCCTGGTGCAAAGTTTATAAGGCACCCTGACGGTACTGAGATGTATGGACTACCTTATATAATCTATTATGTACTTCTTTTGAGAAGAGTATTTGGGCTAAGGGATTTTATCTGTTGCAGATCACTAATGTTCTCCTCCAGAAAGCGTCATGCGGATGAACTTAAATATGGCTATATTGTTGATCGTCATCTGGAAGATGGAGACGCTGTTCTGTTTAATAGACAGCCAAGTTTGCATCGTATGTCAATCATGTGCCATCGGGTAAATATTGTTATTAGTACAGAGCATTTTCTTGAACTCTCCAAACCCCAACCATGTGCATTATCTAATATATTTGTTGCTTGCAGGCAAGGATAATGCCTTGGCGAACTCTGAGATTTAATGAGTCAGTTTGCAATCCATATAATGCAGATTTTGATGGTGATGAGATGAACATGCACGTTCCGCAAACTGAAGAGGCTCGTGCAGAGGCTGTTATGCTAATGGGGGTAACGTACTTTGACCTTTTAAAGTATTATTCCCCACTTATGCTAAAAGCTGGTCCAATTTAGTCTTAATGATGTTTGACTTTGGGCACGTATGGTGTATATACAATGTTTGATGGCATTCATAAACTAGTTATTTAGATTATCACTCATGCACCTCCTCAACAACTTTTTAAACCATCAGATCAACAATTTGATTGATGTCCATAACACTTTTGTCGTACCATAATTAGTTTTGGGCATTTAGATAATTGCATTATGCAATGGAAGTGGACTTCTTATCCACATTTGCAGTCAACTCATTTTGGCATATTATCCTGTGCCACGTAATCTTTCTTTATGCGATAATAAATTTGTTTGCTTAATATTAAAAATATTTTCCCGTGGGCTGTTATTCTGATGCTACGGCTTGGGATTTCTTTGTCATCATTATGGTTAATAGCTTTTTAGTTAGTTTATGGGCGGATTCTTGAATTTGGTTAACATGGGGGCAGGCGGTATCTTACCTCTTGTCAGAAGATCTTCTATGTGGTTTTTTGTTGCCCAAGCTTAAAATGGATTTGGTTGTTAGTGTTTGGGGTTGTATATGCCAACTCAAACTGCCTTCATGCTATGAGTTCTGTTAACAAGTGCAGTGAGTTGTTGTATGCATGTTAAGATTGGATAAGACCTATAGCTGGAATGATATTATAACTAGACCATCATCAATTTAGCATTTTCCTCCATGGTGTGGAAATATATATATATTTTTTAATTTTTATTTTTAGGAACAAATAATCGACTCATCCTTAGTGTTTTTAGGCCCCACTAGAGGATGATGATGGGGATTAGGATTTTCCAACCATAATATACACGGAACACTCTTGAATACACCTTGACTTTGGTGAGAAATTGACTTATGTGGTGGGGAATGGCATTAGTATCAGATTTTGGGATGATTGTTGGTGTGGAGACTACCCCACACAAGAGATATAAATTTAAATTTGGTGGCTTGATGTGATGGATAAATGTTATATTTTTCATTTTAATGGGGAAAGAATGGGAAACAAACAGGGGCTATAAAATCTTTTCACATATTCTTAATAAACAAAGTCTTCCTGGTGGCTGGCAAAAAAACAAAAGAAAAATAGAGTGAGAGAAAATGCGTAAAAGGAAAAATGGGGAACTGGGAGATTGTAAGGAGACTGAGTTCCCATTTCTGTCTACTCTTTGAAGTACTCTTTTGGCTTTCTATTCACTAGTTAACTTTCAAACTTGGTCCGATTTTCTTACATACCATGGGAGAAGTGATACCGATTCTTATGTCGCTTTTCAATTAGATCTCTCTTTTGACGTCGTAACACTAGATTGCCAGAAACTTGTTCTTGGTTGGACTTCAATGATCAACATAACATCAGAAGCATCATCATAACGTGCATGCTAGATGATGGGACAGCCTTATAATACTAGCATTTTTAGTGGTTATGCTATGCCTTTTTTTTTTTTTGGCTTTGTTCATAGCCATATCTATGTAACCTGTTTTGAAGATTTACGATAATGTTGCAGGTCCAGAACAATTTATGCACTCCTAAGAATGGTGAAATCTTGGTAGCTTCAACACAGGATTTCCTAACGTCCTCCTTCCTCATAACAAGAAAAGACACCTTCTATGATCGTGCTTCCTTCTCACTTATGTGTTCTTATATGGGGGATGCTATGGATCCAATTGATCTGCCAACACCAACGTTAATTAAGGTTGAGTTTGGGAATTTGTTCATTGTAATTTTAAATGCACGGTCACTGTTCTTGAAAATTTTCATCATTTTTCACATGCAATGTGTTCTCTGTCATTTTCCAATTCAGGGTATAAGTTCCTGCTAATTTTATGTTTTGAAGTCGTGAATGTGCATTTTTTTTCTCGTTCATCGCGAGACATAGGTTTATGAGATGTTGATACTTATCCTATAAGTTTGCTTCTCACACGTCTCAGTGTGTATTCCTGGTCCTGTATCCTTTACTGATAAATTTATTTTCTCTACTGCTTTTGGAACAAGGATATTTTATCACGTTTTGTTGTTTTTGCAGCCAGTAGAGCTCTGGACTGGTAAACAATTGTTTGGTGTATTATTGCGGCCACATGCGAAAATGAGAGTCTACATAAATCTTACTGTTGCAGAAAAAACTTACAGTAAGCCTAAAGGTGAAAAGGAGAAGCCTAAGGAAACTATGTGTCCGAATGATGGATTCGTTTATATTCGTAATAGTGAACTGATTAGTGGACAACTTGGGAAAGCTACTTTAGGTTTGTGTCCTTTCTCTCTCTTTATTAAGTCATAAGGTTTTGATTCGTTCCTTGATTTTGGGTTTCTTTAGGAAGTGATTTGCAATGTGTGAGAAGATTATTTACAGCTGTCAATTTACTCTGTGTTCTTTGATTGATGCGCTGCATGTGTTTGTGCATTGCAATCCTTTGTTCGCTCTACAAATTTTGAGTTTTTCAACTTTATTCTTATTTCAACAATTCACCAAATTTTCTTGCCTAATCTTCGATTATAGAATGTGATTTTATTTACTTTTTATTTTTTACCTTTGTACTTTCCTCTTTGCTTCTAATGTCATATTTAACTGTGGCTTGTTACTCAAAGTAAATCAATATTTTTGTATGGCTTCATTAGTAAACGTATTTTCAGGGGACACTTGGATATCTCTGTAATTGCGCACCATTTCTGGTAGTTTATTATGGCCCCCTTTTGGTTTGCAAAGTTGATGGTAGTATCCAAAGAAACATGCAGAAATTGTATCGCTAAGTTGAAATTTGTTCTGATGAAACTTCTGCATTCTAGCAACAACTTTCTTTATTTTTTGACAGAATGACTTTCTAAGGGCACTTGAAATCTCCAGATCTGAATTGCAAAATTCACAAGACAAAATTAAGAGCCTGTTTGGGAGTGATTTTGAGAATTGATTTTTTGACCGTTAGGAGAAAAGTGGGGTCCATCTGTGATAGAAGAAGTCAAATATGACGGCTGGAATAGTGAAATAACGGTCAAAAAATCAATTTTCTGGGTGAAAAAATCGAGCCCAAACAAGCTCTTAGTTCTTTTTTTTTTTGGGTGGGATGGGTCAGTTTCACTAATATTCTTACTAAAGTCCCTGTCTACAATTTATTTTTTATTTTTATAATTGTCTTAAAAAGGGAACATAAGTTTCTCCCTTGAACAGTTCTAAGTGGTTTTTTATTCGTGTAAAATTGAAGTCATACTGTTCTTGTTAAATCAGCATTTGTTTGAATACTCCCCATAGGGGTAAAATATTTGAATTTCCTGTTGTTTATAACTGAGATCAATGTGAACTAAAAATTTGATCGTCAAACTTGTAGAATCTGATGCTGAATTCTATCATACTTGTTTGAAAAGTAGATAGCCAACCAAACTGAATTGTTTAGTTTGTGGACCCACGCATCAGCTTTGGTATTTGTGGGGTTTATGTAGAAAATAAAAATTTTAAGGGCGTGGCAGATAGCATGTTGATTGCTGACAGCATTTAGATGTTCAAACATGAATATTTCGCATAAGCTGATATGTAAATCTGTAAGTTTGGTTCATTCGACTTGAAGTGCATAAAATTTAGGACGGGTGGGTAAGTGGAAATTGTAACAAAAAGAATTTGCACCAGGAGATTGTGGTTTACATTACGCTGGAGATGACTAAATGCTCAACTCTGTGAATAATCCAATTAAGAATTATTTGATCTATCAGAGTAGCATTTGAAGTATGTAGAATGTTTTGAATCTTATCCTGCAGTCGCTTGGTTTTCTTAATTAATTCTTGTACAGAGACTTTTGTGGTCTCACCATTGGCCAGTTTTGCTCATTTAGATTCTCTGCCCTTATTCATACCATAATAGATTTTATAAATTTATGATTTTTGCTTTTCTCTAAGCTATTGCTTGAAACAACCGGATATACTTTAGTTACATATTCTTGGAACCATTGAAACAGGGAATGGAAACAAGGATGGCCTTTTCTCAGTTCTTCTCAGGGATTATAATTCGCATGGTGCTGCAGTGTGTATGAATCGATTGGCGAAGTTAAGGTGCGTTTAACGGCTGTTATTCTGTTGGTGTCCAATGCTTTTACAACCCTAAAACTGCATTGATCGGTATTAAATGGCACGCTGCAAGTGCACGGGTCGCGATCAAGTAGTATAATAGACCTTTTAAGTCCCAGTCGATCCCTCGGAGAGTGTTGTTTTCAATTACGAGTATATTTGTTTCAAACTAACGAAAAAGATACACACATTTAAAAGTTCGATTTTAAAAACTATAAAAAGGCGAAAACTCGATTTTGATTTAAAATACTTAAATAATACTTAAAAAGTGGAAAAGTTTGATTTTAAAAGATGTTGGAATTTATGATTTCGCTTAACCTTTTTCAAGCCAATTATGCGTCGATGCAAATTACCAAAATATGTGGTTAGACCTGATTTTCCAAAATTAGTCAATAACCTCTGTCGAGCAATATCAACCCTAATTGCTTGGTTTTAACATATTTCTATGTCGTTCTAAACCAAACAACTGCATTCAATTTTTGTGAAAATAACTCAACGGGTCACATAGGGTAGGTATACATGTCTGGATACCTAAATGTGTATAGTCGAAACCATACAAACCTATGATATTAATTATTTCGGTCCATTATGTGCAACTATTTTTCAATAATTACGCAACTACCTAACCACAACACCTATTGACGTCAAATAAATGTAGTAATCTTAAACATGATAATTAATACACCAATATTTTGATAACAAATGCATATCTAACAATATATAACACAATATTAATGAAAATAGGTTAAGCTAATACATAAATTCCAACATAAACTTGTTTAGTTCATCATTCTAACAAAATAACAAAGAGATTCTCATAAACATATTATTACGAAAATGAAGAACTAAATGAAAGGAATACAAAAGTT